AAATAAACAAAGATGAGAGGAATTCAACTTCAACAATTTTTTACCTTGATCTTTTCTTTGACCCTTAACCTCATTTTTTTCATTTTTTAAAAGGAATTTTGAAATCGGAAATTTCTTTTATCAAACCTGATATTATATGCTGTTACATATTGGTGAGAGCTATTCAACTTCATATATCTTAAGAGTATGAATTTCCATTGACCTTGATATGACCTAACTTTTTTCAGATTTGCATTTAGCTTATTTTAACAAAACCATCCAAGATATTTTAATGTAAGCGTTTATTGATAATTTGTTGACAATTCATCAACTGTTTCCATGCGATTCTTTTTTTTTTCTTTACCTTATCATAGAGCTTTGACTTTACCTTTTTGTGTAAAACTCAGTTTTCAACAAACTATTCAAGATATTTTCATCAACTTCAAACACTCAAAATCAAATTTTCATGTTAAAATTTATGCGCTGATGAACATTGGCGTAGACATTCATATTATATAGACATTTCTATTTTTAGACTTCTAACATATATGATCTAAAAAGGTTTCATGATTTTCTTTTTTGATCATTGTTAAAAGATGAACACGACGCGTAAATATTCATACGCCATTTTTAATGTTACTGTCTACGATATTTGCACTGGGGTATACTCTTTGCATTATTTACACCTAAATGCTTAATTGTAGCGAGTATCCGCTGAGAAAGGCGACCGTGTTCGTGCTGGATAATTTGCATTACATTTGTTTACTTTTATTGCAGTCACGTATATTTGTTTGTTTATAGACGAAAATACAGGGCTTGTTGACGCTCCTGAGTTTTGTATAAGATACGTCCGTCTACATATACACCGATGACGATTGATTACACTTAACAAAGACGAAGTGAGCAGCTCTATATATGGGGGCACTCAGATATAACAAGGGTCAAGTCGAATATGGCGAAAAATTCTTTTCACAAATCGTGTACAAATTTAAAAAGTAGTTTTTCAGCTGAACACTACTAATAAATAAGCATCGTCCCAGCAGGCACACAACGTTGTTTAAACGTTGAATATTAGTTGAAGTTGGGTTTAGACTTTGATAAATCTAGATACAATATTTATTCAACGTTGACTTTTCAACGTTGAAAATTTAAGGTTGAATCAACTTCGAATTCAAATTGATTTCAACTGCCATCATTGATTCAACGTCGGGTCTTCGCTGAGCGGGCCAATCCTATTTTTCGCTGATAGATAATATGGACTATAACACTGTTGGACCATAACGAGGTTGGACTAGACAAAGTCGCACTGCCGTATAGCATTACTAACTATCATTACCAACAAGGATGGTAAATATAGAAACATTCAATGATAAATATGAATTCAATACGAATTTGCCAAAGTACGAATTAGAAAGTTACGCAGTAGAACTTGGAATTGTTTCATGTTCTGGACTTTTTCATGACCACATGTGAAAATACAAAACGTTTGTAAATGCTCGGGTTTTGTAACATGATTAATTTATAAAATATATTTTGGTGAAAATCATTGTAACACAATTAATTGTTGACAGGAATTTGAACACTTACTGTTAACAACATATAATATTTTTCATATAGAGATATACCGTATGTTTTCATTTAAGGGGTCCGACCCTCTGCTATAGATTTCACCTTGCTATTGAAAACTGGTTTTTTTATTTAAATCTTGGTATTAAGTTCTGAGGGTTGTGTTATGTTGACTTTTTGAATATTTTCCGGATGTCCTACTGCGTATGCTCTTAATTCGTAATTTGGCAAAATCGTACTGAATTCTTATTTATCATATGCATTGAATGTGCAAAATTCCTATATTTACCATCCTTATTAGTTATAATAGTTAGTAATGATATACGGTAGTGCAACTTTGTCAAGTCCGACCTCTTTATGGTCTGACAGTGTTATAGTCCGACACTATCATTGTCCAAATTTAGCAACGTTGTGTTCCGGCTGGGATAATATTTACTTCATCACCGGAAAAACTTAGAACTTTTTTCACTTTATAAGGCCAAAACTGAATGACTACTATCCAAAGACACTGGTCCATGCTCACATTTGATATTGGAATTATTTAAGCCTAATTGATAGTTGCTTCAAATACGAGTACCACACAAACACGTTGATGTTTGCTCGTACCAAGAAACATTTTGATAATGATGAGAGGATAACTAATAATGGCGCACATTGTACTGCTGTCTTAAACTATGTTCAAGTTTATCACAGGGAAAAAAATAACTCTCAATGCTTTATCGACACGATAGCACCTATGTCTCTTTAAACAATGGTAAAGGCCGATGTATTATAGGTTGATATTATTTTGTAAATGTGAGCTTAGAAATGAAAGATTATATGTCATTTAATAATATTTCATTCCTAAATTTAAAAAAAATGATTTTCCATAACTTGCTCTTGATTTTTAAACACAACTAAGAATTTGTAGTAGCCCATAATACATCGCAACTTATTTTTCAGTCGATAAAGTAAACGGAAAGCTAAATATATGCTGACGTGAACAAAATCTAGTGGTCTCGACCTGTATAAGAACCATTCGATTTTATAACACCCGCTTGCATACATGCAACTCGAGACCTACGTGTAATTTTCTATGGGGCACCATAGTTTTCCTTTCATGGTTTGATTTTATTTTTTAAGTGAATTATCTGTTTGTATATACCCCCTAGGGATCCGGGTCAGAATAGGTTCTCAGTACCCCCTTGCCCCTTGCTTGTCGTAAAAGGCGACTAAATGGGGCGATCCTTCGGATAAGAGGGTATAAACTGAGGCCCCGTGTCACAGCAGGTGTGGCACGATAAAGATCCCTCCCTGCTCGAAGACCGTATGTGCCGAGCATAGGCCTAAATTTGCAGCCCTTCACCGGCAATGGTGACGTCTCCATATCAGTGAAATATTCTGGAGAGGGACGTTAAATAGTATACAATCAATCTGTTTGTATATAATGCAAAGATTTATACATTTGATGTAACTTTTCTCCTGGTTCGGAAAAGGTGGGTTAAATTTGATTTTTTAATTGTAAAATATCAGTGTGCTTGATAATTGCACAGCAATAAAGGTGTACATCCTCTCAGGTAAGAACTCTACAGCGAAATACTTTGAATTGTTAAAAGGTCTGGAGTTTATATAATGGTTGTAGGAATAGCGGCGATAAAAAAAAATATTGCGAACAATGCCTTTAAAAGCAGTACTTATGTTTAGTTAATTTTTATGTATAATCATGAAAAGCAAAAGTGAAATAGTAATAAGATACTTATAATGAGTGAGTTTCTTTCATTTCAAGATTCATTCGAAACACTCGGGCCTTTGATTTAAAATTAAATAATTATTGAAGTTTTGGTGATTTTCAGTTTGAAGAAATGTGTATGTTTCTCTTGCTTGTGGTCGTCTTTCTCTTGGCCTATGGTTCTGCCATCCAATCACTTCTATACAGACAGACAAAAGAATCAAGCATATGGGATATCCTAAAAGACGTTGTGTTTTATCCCTATTGGGAGCTATATGGAGAATTGGCGTTTGAAGAAACTAAGAAATTTAAAAGTAAGTAATAAAAAACGATACCAAAATATCAAAACATAGTTGATTTATTGTCAGTAAGACCAAAAAAAAAAATCTTTTAGAACCCAAAATAACAAATCATATCTGATTATTTTAAAAGTCGGTAAGAAAAAAAAAAACAGAGTTTTGAAAACAAGTCTCAAAAGTCTCAAGAGGACCTCAATAATCTCAAAATCTCATTAATAGGTATAATTTTATGTTTGAAAGTGTATCAATGTTTAGTTTTGTTTATGACAAATATGAAAGTAAGATTCTCTGAGATGGTCACAAAATATAGCTAAAATATACGTATTCAAAAAAAAATTGGCGTCAATGCAATTGTTGAAAGTTAAATTCACCATTTATCTTTGATAACATTTTAAATATTATTTAAACATTTTAAATATTAACTTATTTAACATACATTGACTGAATATTTCCCCTTTATTTCTGATGAAAACTCATTGCCGTTATCATTGAAACAAATGGAGATAACGAACAGTATCCAATTTCAAAAGTCCACACACAATATAAAACAAGAGCAGAGAGAACAGGGACCTCCAAAACATTGGAGGTGGTATCAGGTGCCATAGAGGAGTGAGTATCCCCTGTCGACCTGTCACACCCGCTATGTGCTCCTTGTCATGATCAGGAAATAACAGAAAAGTCCGTCGTCATAATAATGTATGAATAGTGGACTAACAAATAGTATGAAAAGCGTCAGTCAGCATTCGACTCAATGATAAACTGTATTTGCTGACAAGGTCATTGTATAGACCAATGAACTAACGAATCGATGATTTAAATTGAAACTACTGAAATTCTTGTTTTATTAACTTGGTTGTCAATGAATTAATCCGTTTTAGAAATTGTGCATACGTAGAGCATGCTCTTGCGTATTGAATCAATTTAGTCATTTGCAGGTAAGGAAGTTATATTGCTGCTTAAGTAAGGAAAATTTACGATAATTCAATCTTGGTGAATTATGTTTAAGGCAATATCACCTGTGTGGACGAAGCGAAAGGGATTAACAGCACAATGTTGCGTTTGGTGGCACTGGCTAAATGTAAGCAGGAACACTGGCTTGTTTACATCTTGTGTGCAGGCTACCTCATCATGGGGAACATCCTACTGTTTAATCTTCTTATCGCCATCTTCAAGTGAGTCCAGTATCTAAGTTCTTTTGTAAAACTAAATGTACAGACAGCTTCAATTTTAAGTTTTCAGGTTCCATAGTCGATGATACATCATTGTTGTTTGTGGTGTTATGGGTAACGGACTAACATTTTCAAGATCACGGGTTCGATACTTATCATGCGGGTTAATATATTTCTGCAAGAAAAGTCAACCGTTCACTATTTTGGTATAGTGTGCTAACGCTAAATTAATCCTTTAAACACAATACAAAATTATATGGGTATTAGTTATACAAGGGAAATATACAAAAACAAAATAAATTCGCATAGGGGTGTCAAATTGATAAATATTTTGTTTACCTGTTCGTCACAACATTCTTTGTTGATTTTTTTTTTTCAGCCATATCTTTACCAAGGTTGAGGAGAAATCGAACGAGATTTGGAAGTTCCAGATGTACTTCCTCACCATGGAGTTTGACAACAAGACGGCCTTGGTCCCGCCCCTAAGCATCATCCCCCACGTGTACATATGTTTAAAGTGGCTGGCTAGGAAAACCTGCTGCCGAAAAAAATCCAGAGGTAAGAGGGATCAAACTTGCAGATCATATGAAAGTTGAGGATCAAGACTTGAGGTGGTTGAAAAGGTGGAAACTTTGAAACTTAAGGGATGGGAGAAGAGGAACTGAATAATTCTAATGTGGAAGCACAGGGGAGAATGGGAAAATTTATGGGGAGAGAAAGTGGAAATGGTCAACCCAGAGGGAGAGGAAAAGAAAAATCTGACACATTCTGGCAAATTGTTCAAATGGAAAAGGGAACAGTTGCCAAACTTTCAGGATAGAGAGAAAAAACTGGCAATCTTTCAGGATAGTAAATAGATGACAAGCAAATCTGTCAGGATAAAACAGAGGGAACACTATCAAATCTTTCAAGATAAAAAATGGAAACTTGTCAAATCTTTCTGGATAGAAAAGATAAGGGAAAACTGGCGAATCTTTCAGGATAGAAATCAAGGGGAAACCTTGAAAAATTTCATAATGATAGAAAAGGGAGAGTTTAAGACATGAAAGATGAGGGGGAAAAGAGATCAAAGGTTGATTAAAGTAGAGCAGGAGATAGGTAAAGAAAGATGTCATGAGATCTAAAAATTATTATTTAAAATAAGAAATTGTGAAATTATTAATTTTTGTGGGAAGTTCAATTTTCTTGTTTTGTGGTATGAAGAGACAAACAAATTCAAAAATTCAACACAATTTAGATTCTCAAATATGTATCCATTCCCTTTGAACTAAATTTTTATCTACACAGCTAAGTTGGAGATACCACGTGAAAAACATTACTCTCATTAAATCTAAAAAGCAGCAGAGAGCATAATTTTAAAAGAAATCGGAAGTTTAACAGCCACCTAGGCAAAGTTTGTAGAAGGTTTATGTTTTTATGAGTCTGGTTTTGTTCTAGGAAAAAGAAACTAAAAATATATTGTGTATAATTGTGAATTTGGAAATCCAAAATTATTTTTATACGCCTGAATCGATAGATCCAGGGCAATCTGGTATTGTTTTTGTCCTGTCTATCTGTTTATCCGTTTATCAACTTTAACCTTCGCCATAGCTTTTGAACCGTGAAAGATAGAGACTTCATATTTGGTAGGCAAACTCTACTAATTGAGTTCTTTCAAATGAACAAATGTCAATGACCTTGTGACTTTGACTGTGACCTTTATGCTTAAATTTTTTTTTTCGAACTTTCGCCATAGCTTTTGAACCAAAGGAGATAAAGACTTCATATTTAATATGTATACATGTACTCAATTAATAACGATCTTTTTAAAACATTAATCAATGACCTTGTGACTTTGACTGTAACCTATATGCTAATAATAGCTTTTTTGATCTTTCGCTGTAACTTTTGAACCATATAAGAGATAGATATTTCATATTTAATATGCCTATACCAACAATTGATTTTTAGCTCTACTGGTCAGAGACCAGAAGAGCTTATGCGATAGTAATGCGTCCGGCGTCCGTCCGTCTGTCTGTCTGTCTGTCTGTCCGTCTGTAAACAATTTTTCAAAACGCTACTCCTCCTACAGTTCTGGTCTGATTTCAATATAACTTGGCACACAAGTAGACTACACTAAGATACATAGAATAGTGCATCGGTTTTTATTTTCGATGAACGGTGTTGCCATGGTAACTAAAAATAGATTTTTCTGTGAAATTTCTTCAAAACACTACTCCTTCTACAGTTTTGGTCTTATTTTAATATTACTTGGCGCACAAGTAGACTACACTAAGATACAAAGAATAGTGCATTGGTTTTTAATTTCAATGAACGGTGTTGCCATGGTTACTTAAAATAGAAATTTCTATCAAATTCTTTTAAAATGCTACTCCTTCTACAGTGTTGGTCTGATTTCAATATAACTTGGCACACAAGTAGACTACACTAAGATACATAGAATAGTGCATCGGTTTTTAATTTCGATGAACGGTGTTGCCATGGTTACTAAAAATAGAATTTTCTGTGAAATTCCTAAAAAACGCTACTCCTTCTACAGTTTTTATCTGATTTGGATATAACTGGGCAAACATGTAGATTACACTAAGATACAAAGAATAGTGCATCGGTTTTTGATTTCGATGAACGGTGTTGCCATGGTTACTAAAAATAGAATTTTCTGTGAAATTCCTTTAAAATGCTACTCCTTCTACAGTTTTGGTCTGATTTCAATATAACTTGGCACACAAGTAGACTACACTAAGATACATGTTATAGTGCATCGGTTTTTGATTTCGATGAACGGTGTTACCATGGTTACTAAAAATAGAATTATCTGTGAAATTCCTTTAAAACGCTACTCCTTCTACAGTTTTAGTTTGATTTTGAAATAAGTTGGCATACAAGTAGACTACACAAAGTTACATAAAATAGTGAAATGGTTTTTGATAAGTACAAACCAGTAGAGCTACAGTCTCAACAGAGACTTCTGATTTTTAAAATGACATCAAGCTCAATGACCTTGTGACCTTGACTATGACCTACATGGTAGAAATAGCTTTTTGAACTTTCGCCATAAATGTTAAGCCATATAAGAAATAGAGACTTCATTTTTAATATGCCTACTCCATAAATTAAGTTCTTTCAAATGACATTAAGGTGTGACCTTTCCTGGCTGTGACCTATATGCTTAAAATATCGTTCTTGAACTTTGTTGTCGCCAGGCGCATAGTATTTTTACAAACACATCTTGGTTTTAAAGTGTATTGATAGTGAAAGGAGTAATTTATAACTAGTGGAGTAATGTGTTTTTTCAAATAAATATCTGGTTTCTTTAAAAAATATTTTTGTGTTCATCTTAGGTGTACAGTTCACACAGAGACACTTGGAATTTCTTCATCTCTTTGAGAAAGAGGAAATGGCCAACTATCTAAGACGTATTAAATTAGAGCAAAAAGATTCGACAGAATCTAAACTACAAAAGCGGTAAGGCAGCTTTCTCAAACGAATAAATACAGAGCAAAGAGATTCATCAGAATGCCAATACATGAACGAACACGGTATCAAGTTTCCACGGAAATTAAACATTAAAGATGACATTAAAGTTTGTGTATCAAGTTAAATATAAAAAAAACATATAGCAAATAGAATTGTCCTTTATTCATTTCAGGGTAGAAGAGCTGTTTAAATTGGTGGAGGAGGAACTGACCGCTGACCACGGAGGCAGTTCTTTTAACCAGACGTTAAGTGCCACACAGACAGTCAAAATGACCCAAAAGACCACACCAGAGTCTTGTCCCTTGGAGCCCAGCGGTTGGCCTAGGACTGAAGCTGTCCTTGACTATGCCAAAATGTTGGAAGAGAAAGAGGAAGAGAAAACCAAAGAAGAAACACAGGAGGTTAGGGTGATTAACTTTCACTTTCATTTTGTTAGTCATGTTTTCCCCTACACATAGTAAGTGTTTTTAAATAACTTTAAGTATTTAAAGCATGAAGAATAGGTAATTTGGAATGTTACACATTTTTCTTTATACAAATCGAAGCTTCTTCAATGTTTTGTGTAAATTATAAGGACGATGTTGATGAGGATCGAGTAAAGAAAAAGAAGAAACTTAAAAAAGAAAAGAAGAAAAAGCAGCAGCAAATGGAGGAAATAATTATAAACTTGGATCAACGAAATAAAGCCAAACCTGAAAGTGAGGCCAATAAGGACTCTCCCTTAGAAACCAGGTCCCCAATAAGGCAGGGTCCAGACTCGAATCCCAAGAATCTGTTATTACGACGTCTCCAGACGACACAAAATAATTTGACTGATGATTCCTTTGATAGTGATGATGCTCAGCCGCAAGTTCCAGATTCTTCTATCATTATAAGTATGCCGAGAAGAACGCAGTCGTTTGATATACAGCCCAGTGACTCTGATTCTGACAGACCTCGGAGGATGCGGTCCAAGAAATCACTTCTCCGAGTGGAGAGCAGTACAGAGGACGAAAGGCGATCTAAAAAGAGAATCTTTAAACGACGAGGAAGCCACCAGCTGTCCGATACAGAATGAATATTTTGTTAAGTTTCTTGTAAATAGGAATTCTTATTTCCTTCAAGTGTAATTGAGATAAGGAAAATACTTGTATATGAAATATAAATTTAACAATGTTGCTTTTTTTCGATTATTGCTTCGATTGATCGAGTTTTGATCGTGCTTTGCGACCTTAACTGAAGAAAAATTCCTGAATTCTCTTTTATTTTGATTTTTCCAAGCTTTTCGAAACAGTTTTTCCAAACAAAACCATATGCTTATTTTTTTTTCATTTTGGCATAGAGACTAAATAATGGAAAACCAACTGGTAGCAATAAACTTCAAAGTGTATTTTGAGTATTTGAGTCTTTTTGACATTTTAGAATTAAGCCAGGAAAACTTACAATATAAGGTTGTATAAAGTAACACTAAACCTTTATGCCAGTTCAATTTTTGCTTGTTTTCCCATGAAGAGTTTTGATCAATGATTTAAATGCTTAGTTTTGATGAGATTTTATTTTCTCCGTAATTTTAAAAGAGGTGATGACTGTTGAATTCTTATTGAGATAGTTATTGATATTAAATGTATAACATTCATTTAATTTACCTTTGGTTTATGAGACATGAAAATCTCAAACAAATCTACCATAGATAACTTAAGTCAAAGTCATTTGGTAGTCCCAATCACTTTTTCCTTGATGTGTCGTGAACCCTAAGATATCTTTTTTTGGCGGGGGTGGTGGTGGTGGTGGTGGGGGGGGGGGGTCCCATGGATTTTGAGATACAAGGTTTAATTGTTATGTTCTTACTATTTTTACAAAACCAGAAAAATCTTTTTATGATATACATATAGCTTTATGTTTATGAAAATGTCTAGTATAAAAACTTTGAACCTGTAGATTTCAGCAGGATTTTATGAAGCCAATACTGAAATGTCATATTTCCCATTCCTTCATTTTACTTTTCGAGGAAATAACTAATTTTACTAGCATTTTGGCTACATGAACATCTTATTTTGAGAAATGCATATTGTAAAACTGCATTCAAATGTACAAGAGTGTAACAAGTTCATTCATTGACCCAATTAATAGAGATTCAGCTCCTCTAAAGAATATCTTCAGTTATTTCTTTTTTAGATTTGAATACTGGACTCGATTTTAAATTGAAGAAATAGGGACAAGAAACTTTGTTGCTCAGGAAATAGTAAGATTAATTTTAATCCCAAATCATGTATAAACTTGAATAGAAATGTTTTTGAGAGCAATAGATTTGACAGTTTGTTTGTCACCCTTAACTGCAATTTAACTGATAATTCATGGTATATAAGATTTTCTTGATTGATTAGAAAATAAGGGTTTTATAACATCGTATCGTTAATTTTTTTTATTCCATCAATTGCTCAATGTTGTATCTCTGATAAAAAGTGCAAACATATTTCCTCATCAATCTGTGATATACAATACGTTTATAACGTAATTATCATTCATGCCCTGCACATTGAAAGTCACTATTTTTTGTTGGGGAGGAGCTGAGATATTTTTTTCTTGTTTCAGAATGATATGAAGAGACTTTTCTTTCTTCAAACCAGACCAATCTGACCCCACACAAAATAAATGATTTTAAAGTAGTATAATGCCTCATCAAGAATATAGATATTCATAAGTATAATCACCTTCCTCAGTCATCACGTTAATATTCCTGAATAATTAAGTAAAATTCTACCATTCTACCATTTTGTATTTTGAACTTTTTGCTATATATATATATGCTTTCTTATTGCATATACTTCTACATGTAAAAAGAATTCTCTATATTGATTAGTTCACAGATAATATTTCATGAAAACATCTTTAATTGTTCGAAATACTAGTATGACTGTTTCAAATTCCAATGTATTGTTAAGTATTGTGATTTTACTTTGCAAATATAACGTCATTTCATCTGAATGGAAATATATTTGTCTTTTTAAGCAATTATGTTTTTGCATTTGTATATATTCTGTACATTTATAACTGTTTTATTTTGTTCTTTAATTCATGAACTTACTTTTATAATTCCGTCCACAAGTAGCTCTTACGAGGTTTGTGTTTGATGATATTTAAATTGATATACGAACCCTGTGATAATCAAACTGCAGCTACATATGTATTGTAAAAGCAACCTGTCCAGTGTACGTATATATGAATTGCTCACTTCTCCATTGTACCTGATCCCTCCTCTGATATTTTGGAGGACCGTGTTTGCTCTGCTCCTATTTTGTATGTTTTTATGGACCCTTGATCTTTAATACTGTTCCATATCTCCATGAGTTTCATTTATTTCTGTATCTGAAATTTGTCCACAAGCTTTATTTATTCCTACATTTTTAAAACCTAAAAACAATACCAAATACTAGTTAATTTTAAGTTTTTTTTATATACCTGACCAGTCTTTTACGAGATAGTAAGTATATAATATATTTGTCTTGGTAATTTTGATCCAAATCAGTAGTGCATGTACATTCTTTTGTTTATAGATCTAAATAAGATATGTAATCTGGATTCAGTTAAGAAGAAATAGGTATTTTAAAAATTCATGGTGTGCATTGGATACCTTGACAGCTGTAAACCAACTGAGGAAAGTTTTTTGATCCAAACATTTTGTTCTTATGCTATAGTATTGTCTGTTCTCCTGAGTTATCACCTTCTGCTTGACCCATTGTATTATATGTATATATGTTTAATATGTTTCTGTACCTCATGTATCATGTTTTGGAGTGAATAAATTGAATTGAATTGACACTTTAATCGTGATTTGATATATAAATATATATAGAATTTTTTTGTACAATCTATATTGAATTTTGCATAGGTTATTTCCAGCAACATATCTGTAGAAAATCATAATCTATATTTTAGATATTTTAGAAATAGAATTAGAAATATAATAAAAACCTTGTGTTTAATAACATATTTACTCCTGTTTCCATGGTATTATCAATCATCACCTATGTGTACTTGTTAGATTATGTCAAGGCATCATTTTACATTTGTTGATAATAAAATCTGATACTATGTAATTAAATCTTGTTTTTCTATCACGAAAATAATTCTCTGATGTAATATTCTCATCTAAGTGTAATGTATAGGGAGATAATATGAGCATCCCCTGCTGACCGGTCTTACCCGCCGTGTGCTCCTTGTCATGATCGGAAAATAACGGAAAAATTCGTTGTCAATTCAGTGTATAGATAATGGAATAACAACTAGTACGAAAAACGTCAGTCAGCATTTGACTCAATGTAT